GAAAGGGTTCCCGAAGAGGTTTCGGTTTCTGAGAAAAATTTTTTGTTTATAGTATATGTCTACTAAAGATAACGCCGGAGTAAAATTGTTAAATTACCTAACATAATATGTAGCAGAAAAATTCGGGAAAACTTCCATAAAATTAGGAAAATCCTGTAGATTCCACCAACACACGAGAAAGGACAAATAACATTTATGTACACATACCAAAATGGTAATCTAAAGATGTGAAATTTTATTTATCTTGAGAAAAAATCTGCTTTTATTCGAGTGTGTGCGTTACAAGTTTGCAATTTGTTTAGATTCTAAGCCGGACATTATGATCCTCTTCTGGTCCGATCCTCACTCAAATTTTCATATTCCACGTCAACTTCTCTCCATCGGTATTCCTCATGAACATGTCACTGAGATGAATCGTATCTGTCGCTTGTTGGACTCGCATAAAGATACTACAATCCTACTCATCGCTGTTCAAGACAAATACAACATTCGTCCCATTGTTAAGCTCTTGCATTCACGTGAAAACATTCGGTCAATCTATTTACTTTGCAAGTCATCTCAACAAGTTACTGACCTTATTCGTTTCTCACGTGCTTTTTCAAAAGTCCAAGCAGTGTTTGCTGACGCAGAACGACTCTTCATTCAATTGGCGATCGATTGTTCCCTGATCTGCAGTGAATTAGGAGATAAGCAAGCAGCCGACGTAGAAAACGCACAGGCCTCTAGAATAAACTATCAGCGAGCTGTAAATTTATGTTCGGCAGTCGAAGAGGTCGTAAAACGGTAATTCAGCTATTTTTCCTTCAGTTATACCACTGATGATACTGTAAACTGTTCTGGCATGTAGCCTTGAAATCTGAGCAGAGTGCGACCATGCTGAGTATATCGTATACTTTTTCAATAAATGTTTGCTTTTAATCTTTAAAATCGAAAAAGGCTCTTGACTACTTCGGTTTTTAATAATATTTTTTTTCAGATAATTACATTGGATACGACCTTTTTCGAATATTCGCTTTGTTTTGTATCATTATTGACTCTTAGGTGATTAAGGTATATAAAGCAAGAGCTTGTTTTGTCAGTCGGAATATCAATTTATTTTCTAGAATGGCTTACTCTCGTCCCATCGATGAGAAGATTGAAATTGTTATTCTCGATTCAGCTCATCGGGTAGTAAGTTTCAATCATGTGAACAAAAGTTTTGACCACGTCAAAAAATTATGCGACTACACATGCAATCATGAATCTCAAATAATCATTCTCATGCCGGTCGAGCATTTGCCTGCTGTAATCGAAAACAACATACAGGAGTATGCATCAATTCTTTTTATCAAAGTATTTGTCGATTTGCCTTCCGAAGTCGATAAGTGTCAACAACAGTATTCATCATTTTACCCCAAGATTAAATTTTTTCTCTGGAAAAATTATCAAGAGCATCTGTGTGCCGCCAATGTTCAGCAAGTTGTGACCAACGAATCCGATTTGAGTGGTATTTATAAACCAGCAGCATATCTAAAATCAATGTTTCAAAGTAAACTTGAAGAGCAGCAACTGCGCGAAGCTGATTTGGTAGCAACACGAAATATGGCCGAAACAGTAAGTGACTATTTTAAAAACCTTGCCCAGAGAGAATCTGAAGGTTCGCTAAATAACGACTTCTAAGACGTTCCCAAATAGCTAGGCGAAATGAACTCCTCATCAAAGAATCGAATTTCCGATTCATTTCGCAACCAGTTGAGACTTTGTCACGCGTTTTTCAAACACTAGCAAAGGTATTGGTTCTCTCAAAGCTCCTGAAGAACATTTTTATAACCATAGAGAGATACATGATATATATGCATAATAGCTTATTTATTTAGCAAGAGACGTATATTACAGTATGACTCTGCTTTGATCTTGATAGTGTGGATAGTAATCACTGAGGCAATAATATGATTGGAAACATTTGTTGCTCCTCTTTTCAGAAGCAAAATAATTATGTAAAACCAAGGATATCCTGAGCGGCAGGGATCGATTTCCCTGCCTAATAATCGAAAATTCTAGTAAGCATGTGACGACAGTGTAGAATGTTGGTGTGTTGATTGAATGGTAAGACCCTCACCGTCAACCACGCTCGCAACCACACCCACACCTGCAAGCATTATCTCTTATTCTTTAGGTGTTGCTTGACTAAAGTTATAAAATAATATGCAATCATTGAATATTGAATGCTACCTATCTGATTGGAAGGATCCATTCAAGACCTATGAGGTATGACAGGTGGATTGTATTCATATTTGTGAAACATAATATAATACCTGAGTTTTACCACGAAATCAATAAAAGATAACTAGCAGAAGAACGTTGCAGAAATTTTTTTATGAGAGGTACATTGAATACATTTAGAATAGCTTGAGAAATAGAATATGTCTTAGCTAAAGTTTACAACTAACAATAACTCAAAGAAACGTGTTTCATTTATGCTTCAAAAGGAACGAAAGGTGTTGCATTCATTCAAATAATTACGAAATTTTGAATTGATGTTTATATAGAAATATTGAGGGATGTCATAATATCCATAAATCGGGTATCGACATTTCAAACATCGATATCAGGACATTGACCTCAATGCATCAACGTATATCGATATGAATGCGTTTGGAGTAACAAAATGAATACCCAAAATTTTTAGTGCATATCCATAAAATTTGAGGATTTTGAGTGTTTTTAATGCAATGATGGAGATATGGTGTGGCTGTCGGTGTGAGTGAAGAGAAGATAGATACTTACACTCACTCCCATAGCCACGCCACACCTACATCCACACCCACCCACACCGACACCCACACCGACACCCACACCCACCCACACCGACACCCACACCGACACCCACACCCACCCACACCGACACCCACACCCACACCCTTGGATGCATATTGTTTTTGTATATAAAATATAAATAAGTATCGAAGTGGGTATCCATCTCATTGCATCAAAAGCACTCAAAATCCTCAAGTTTTAGGGTACCCACTAAAAATTTTGGATATCCATCTCGTTAGATATCTTGATGTGTAGCTTGTCGTTACCCAGCTTATGGATATTATGACATCTCTGGAAACATTTTGTGATTGATAGAGCTTTAGTGGTTTTCATCGAGGAATCTCGAAGTACGAGATCTCTGCGCTTCATATTTATGTAGTCGGGTGTGAGTGTGTGTAGATGTGGGTGAGTGTGGGCGTGGGTGTGGTTGTTGTTCTGTTCTTCTACAACACACCCAAACCCACACCTACACCCACACCCACTCCACACCCAACCCGCACCTACACTCACTCCCACATCCATATCCTCCCACACCAATACCCATATTCTTTGATATTTTTATTGCTCTAGATTTATGTTATAGTGCCATCAACGTATGGTTGGTTTTGACGCAAGAAATATGGCTGCGATCGGCTTAGCATTTTATTGCCGAATATGCAGCCTTCTTTTACGGGAACCTGTTCAACTGGTCTGTGGGCACCGCCAATGCAGATCATGCATTACGTCAACAGAACGGTAAAAATATCAGTTTGAATTGTGTTTATGATTTAAATTGACTATTATATTTTCAAGAGAAACAATAGAATGCCCTGAATGTCAAGAAGAAACACAGAAAAAAGATGTTAGTACAGGAAGTTTATTGTAACCCAAGCAACATATTTTAATTTTTTTAGGTGTTGTTTGACAGAGGCTTTAACAACGATATGCAATCGTTGCCTATCGACTGTTCCTTATGTGATTGGAATGGTTTATTGAAAGACTATGGGGTATGTATGACAGATAGCTTGTATCTATATTTGTGAAACATAATACAATGTTTGATTTTTACCACGAAATCAATAAAAGATAATCAGTAGAAGAACGTTGTTAAAAATCGATAGAGATTTAATGGTTTTTACCGAGAAATTCAGAAATTAGAGACTGCTGCGCCCCGCATTTATGTAGCGCTTTGTGAGTTTTTTTAGCTACTAGACGTAAGTATCCAAAGTTGTCATTTTTGGTGGCGATGATCTCGAAAACAAAAAGTTAGAAAATATTGGTTCAAACATTAGGATGAAATTTCATAATCGAATCTGTACTATTCATGTTTTCAGTTTTCAATAGGACATTCCATTTTCTTACAGTAGCGCAACTAAAAAGCTAAAATTTTGTGAACTTAGCTTTTTTTAAGTTTCGAGATAATTAAAATGATGACAGCAATAAAAATTAGCTGTCACTCTCTTTACTTATAATTACGACAGTCTATGATTGATAGTATTCATTAGAAACATGTTGAAACTGTTAATAAAGTTCTCAATTGTAATGAATTTCACAATCGTTTCTTTTCATTTTCTTACAGATTTCGAGTAACTGATTGATCAAAATGTAAATATAACGATAATAACAAACCTGATTCAGGTAAATTATAAAACGCTTTTGAAGAAAAGTGTTTTATGGTCAATAGTAAAAAAAAACGATTTTTTTGTTTTTATGATATACCGTTTTTTTTTGATAATCAACATTCGTAGTTCCCACACTGCATTTTGCAATTGGATGAAACTCGAATGTCAACTAGTTTACAAAAAAATCTTAATCATTAAACTCGAACTATGATTTACAAAAAGATCTTCTTTTTTTTGGCAGATTCATAGTGTAAGAACATTTACAGTGGCAAATAGTTTTGTAATTGATATCATTCAAATAGTTCCATTCGGAAGAATCTTGTCTTTAGATTTGACTATAACTATTATATAAATTTTTTTGCTAAGGATCACCTTCAACAGTCTCATCCGAATCCATCATGTGAATATTGTGGGAAGAAATGTGATTCAATGAATAATCTTAACTTTCATAAATTAAAAGAATGTGGTAAAATTAGTATATCTTGTGCTCTCAAAGATCATGGATGTTCAACTTCTGTAAGTGATAAAGAATAAATTTTGATGAAAACGATTCTTTTCATTTCGTATTTATTGTTCTTTTGTTTTTTGGTTATTCGTGCTGAAATGTTAGAACATTATAAAAGTGAACAACATCAAAATGCAATAATTACGTTTATATGTAGAGTTTTATCAGAATCAACAAATGATCAACCTGAGAGAGGCTCGGGAATGGATGTTGATACACTACCTCAAACTACTATATTATCATCTGATAATGTAAATATTCAATTACAAAAAGTATGTCAAACAATTGATATTCTTGCTGATGGAGTTTCAACATTGAAGGGAGATACACAACGATTGAGTCATGAATTACTTGATATACGAAATGCTATTGATACATGGAATCGTGATTTTTCTGCATTGAAAATAACTATTCAAAAAGAACGTGTATATTTAGATGGACTTAAAACTAATCAGGATGTTCTTAATCAAGATGTTGCATCATTAAAACAAAAAGTTGATGCTATGCAATTTGTTTCTTATGATGGTACATTATTATGGAAAATAACAAATTTTAGCAGCAAAATGGGTAAGAATTTTATTAACAAGATTTAGTCTTGTATAATGAATACATTTATATTCTAGCTGATGCACAATCTGAACGACAAACATCAATCTATTCACCACCATTTTTTTCTTCACCTACGGGCTATAAAATGAGAGCTCGCCTTTACTTAAATGGAGATGGAAATGCTCGTCGTACACATATGTCACTTTTTTTTGTACTCATGCGAAGTAAATACGATGCCATTCTCAAATTTCCATTCAACTACAAAATCGCATTTTGTTTGTGCGATCAAACTCCTCAACAAAAACATATTATTGATTCATTTCGACCAGATACCAAATCAAATAGTTTTCAACGTCCACGGTCTGAAATGAATATTGCAAGCGGCATTCCGAAGTTTTGTCCATTGTCAATAATTCAACAAGTAGAAAATCCATATGTCCGAGATGATACAATGTTCATTAAAATTATGGTTGATTTTAGAAATTTACACAAAACACTGTTGCCCTTTGCTATGAGTCTTAATTGGGGTCTACCAACTCATGTTCGACAAAAGTTGATCGAGCAAGAAATAGAAAGAAGATTGCAAGAAGACTTTCAAAAATCCACTGAAACGAAAGAAGTTTGGTTGCTTTGATTTAACAAGCATTAGAATTTGGGGTCATATTCATCCTATAATGCTATAAAACATATTTATGAAAAATTATTTATTTTATCCTATTCCCTCTACTGTAAGGAGGGTCATATGAAATAAAATCGATTTTTATGTTTATATGTGTGCATGTATGTGTCAGGGTCAAAAGAACATCAAAGGTCAAAAAAAAAAACATCATGTGAAAGATAAATGATCCATTCTTTTCTAGATCTACCTCCTGTAAAGTTTGACCAAAGGTTTTCACGATCAAGGAATCGAATGGTAGCATTAGTTCTTGAAAATTTTCAAATAATTTTTTTTGCTAAAAAAAGGGCTTTTTGTGTACTCAAAAAGTGAGTACACTCTAGAATCGGTCAGTGTGTCCGGCCGTCCGGCCGTCCAGCCGTTAACACGATAACTTTCGAAAGGAGAGTCCGATCGCGATGAAATTTTCTGCACAGTTCAGTCTTAACAATATCTCAGTCGAGTTCGAAGATGAGAAGGATTGGCCGAGCCCTTCCTGAGTTATTGCAAAAATACTCATTTTTCCCTGCACCTTCCCTATGGAAAGATCGACCCATCCCCACTTTCGTAAAAGACTTTTCCTATCATAGTCAACTAAAACCCCAACTATTATATACCATTCGATAGAGAATTTCACGAGCTACAAAATGGTATATAAAACATAAGGAAACAAGAAAGCCAACTCAGCTATTGCAAAGATAATTAATCGGAATTCGGTTCTGTTTTTGTCACGCTCTAATTGATCCACAAATAGAGCTCTATCTTTCGATCACAGAGATGATAGTTCGAGGTTTTCTGGGGTGGAGAACTCGAATCTGTGCTCTATTCGCCTCGAAATCCCATTGGTTGAACAGTAACCAATAGAAATCAAGTTATAGGAAAAACGGCTTTCTTAGGATAAACCAAGGTGAAGAGTTCAAATCGGAGCTGTATTCATCCCCAAATCCTATTGGTTGAGCAGTAGCCAATAGAAATCAAGTGTTTATAGATAAGGTTTGCCAGAATAATTTTTATATCCCCATATTCTAGAACGACTCATCTGTCTCATTCACTTTTTGAAGTACACATAACTCTCGGATTTAAATCCGAAGTTTCCGCATTTATTTTAAGAAAATAATGATTTTTTATAACGTTTGATCAAAGATTTTCGGAGTCAAGGAATCAAACGGTATCATTAGTTTTCGAAAATTTTCAAATAAGTTTTTTTGCGAAAAAACTCTTGTATAGCGTAAAGGCAAAATTTTCTATGCGGTAGTAATAAGATAATTTTTTTTAATTTTTTAATTCAAGAAATATTTATAGAAATGAAAGTTTGTTGAATTTTTTTCCTATAATGATAGTTTCAGAATAGTGGAAACATGTTAAACTTGAAACTTGTTTTTTTTAGATTTTGGTGTATAAATTTTTGTTTTGTTATTCAATATTCGATCTACATGGTCGTCAATTCTGTAGCACAATGGAGATACGATGCGCGAAAACTAAATCAAAATGAATTAGTAACATTAGGTCAGTGGCAGTAGTTCACAATAACCATCAGCTGTCAGTGATTATGACCAAGGATATCAGCTAAACACGTCACGATCATTAGTAAAAAAAATTGCGCCGACATTTTATCAAAATTAGACTAAAGCTGTTTTTTTGTTTCTAATTTTAGTTTCTTTCATTTATTTCCAAAAGTAGATATCTTGTCAGTTTAAAAATGTTCATATTAAGTGAAATTTTTTTTTAATGTTTATTTTTGTTGTATCCAATTTCATGGAAGCTAACTTTTACTAAATGTACTGACAGATATTTGTTAATATTAAATAAAGGTTAGATAACAATATATGCACTCAAGATCTTGGAAATCTTGAGGGTGTGGGTGTGGGTGTGGGTGTGGGTGGGTGTGGGTGTGGGTGTGGGTTGGTGTGCGTGTGGGGTGTGGGGTGTGGGTGTGTGGGTGTGGGTGTGGGTGTGGGTGGGTGTGGGGTGGGTGTGGGTGGGTGTGGGTGGGTGTGGGTGGGTGTGGGTGTGGGTGTGGGGTGTGGGTGGCTGGGTGGGTGTGGGTGAACAAAAGGCAAACATCCACACCTACATCCAAAACGCTTAGGTTCTGTTGTTTGGTTTCAAAACGAAGTTTACTTTTATTTCTATGAGTTCTTTTCTGTTTGTAAATGCTATAGCATTGACTGATAACCGTAAAATGATTTCTCTAAACCCATGTTTGATAAACTCTCATTACTGTATTTTACTTTTTTGTTTCTCTTCTTTATCGTACAGGTGTAGCTACTAGATCAACAACAAACAATTGTTCAGGAAAAATCATATCAGCAGCAACAGATTCTTCTGTGTCTGTCTGATAGTTGCATCATTGTCTGAATGAGGATGACAGAAAAATAAAGATGGATAATAATTTCCATAATTCCACGCTTTCTATTGTATATGCATTCTCTTATTTCATTCAAACATCTCAAGAGTATGGTCACAAATGAGGTCAGAATCAAAATAAAAACGCTTGCCTCCAAATCTAAATCCTTAAGAACTGTTTTTCCGTTTCTCCAGAGTATACTATACACGAGTAAATCCTTTCGGATGGTTTCGGGAATTGTCCGGCAGTTTTAATTTTTGCTTTTGATCTTTTCTATTTTTATGTTTATCGGAATTTCTTTACTACTCAACTTGTGAATATTTAAGATCTTCCGATGAACGTTACTTGTCTTTTGCAAGCAACCATAAACTTTCTTGATATGTATCATTGTTGGAATCATTTTCATGAAATTATGATGAAATGCATTGATGTTTTTGAATACTTTCACATACACATACTTGCTCACATGATAGACAGGTATGGGTATGATGAAAATTCAATTCTGACACATTCAATACAATGAATTGGGAAAACGAATTATATGAGTTTTTAGTTCAAGCCCCATGATTAAGAGATGCGAAATATTGGAAAACATCTAAATCTATTTTTTCGTTGAAAAAACTTATTTTAATTATGAAAAATCTATATAGATAGACAAAGTCCCGTCCTATAATACATCATGTAGCTAGCCTCTCTCATAGTATCTATATCAGCATTTGAATCAGATATATATCCTTTATTGTGAAAGAAAATTTGAAAAAACCGCTTAAATTTTTGTCGCTGACTGTATTTAATTCAAAATAATTTACAATAAACTGACCAATTAATATTAAAAATTTACAAGACAAAAAAAAAATCTGTTAAAATGAGTTCAATCGAATTTTTCAAGATGGTGAAAGAAATTTTTGTACGAATTCTATAATATAAAAATAATTATATCATTCAAAAATAATTTAAAATTAAATTAAATTACCTTCATAATCAAGTTTACCATCTTTATTTACATCAGCCTAAAGAGAATCAATATAAAGCAAAATTGATTTTAATCTATAACAGACCTCTCTCATCATCTCTTCTAATTCTTCTTGATTGAGTTTTTCACCCATATTAAGCATAACCTTAAAAAAGGGGTTATTAGAGAAAGAAGAGTTACTAAATTTCAGAAAAAAAAACCTCTTTTAATTCATTAATGGTTATATAACCTGAATTATCTCGATCAAAAAGTCGAAATGCTTCACGTAATTCAGCTTCTTGATCACGTTCATGCCAATGTTTACTCATAAATGTAACAAATCCTTGAAAATCTAAATGTTGATTGCCTAAAGCAAAAAAAATAATTCATAATAAAATTCTTCAAGAAATAAACTAATTCATCCTATTTACCATTTTTATCTACTTCAGCAATAAGATCAGCAATTTCTTTGTTTGTTGGATTCAATCCTAATGAACGCATTACTTGTCTAAATCATATCGAAATAGAAAACTTATTACTGAAAAAATGTATTGAGAAATGGCAGAAGAATACTTTTGTCTTCCGACATAAGATACTGTCTAGCAGCAGATTTCATAACCCAATATCTTCATTACATCTCATACTAGCTGTAGCTTTGGATAGAAGATCAGCATGACACAGAGTTCTTTTACATCAGTGCTGGAAGTGCCCATATATATTAGTCACCATATAGTCAACATGCTATCGGTCGTTAGCGACTTATTCTAGAATCATCCTCTGGCTAGTAATATCGAGGTTTAAACAGAGTACCTTACGGATACATGTCGCTATATCGTGTTCTAATAAAAACTCTAAAAGGATATGAGTTTCTATCCGAAAATTTGAGGCCTCGATAGATTAGTCGAATCTTAATAGGAATCCAAATTCTTTTAGGATTTTTATTAGAATACTATGTAGTATCTATAGATAAAAAGATTATGGGAACATCTGAGAGGTTCCTCTTGTCAGTCATACCAGTGAAAATCATGTAGACATGTGCGAGATCAATTTCTTTTAAGTTCCGATCCCG